GTATGTATAGTTTTATAACTATACATATATATATATAGTTATAGCATTTTGTCCCAGCTGATAATTACCCATGACAAATATTCCTGTGTTAAAAGTATAAATCTACAATGGAATTCTGCTTCAGTCATCCTATCATTCATTTAATGAGAATTCTAGTTTATAGCCATCTGAGCTCTCATTCAATAGATTATTCTTTACCAAGTCCTTCTGACAGAAAATACTAAACCAAATATACCCTTTAACCTCAAGGAACCTACAATCTGGTTAAAAAGAAGAACAAATAAATAGATAATTTCTAAAATAAAGATTGGGGATTCTGACAGAAGTGTAAAATGCTATGGTATACACTGAAGAGCCACTGAATGAAGACTACTGGGGGGAGATGGCCTGGGAATACAGGAGCAGAATAAGATAGTAAGTCAGGTAAACTTCCTGCAGAAAGTATTAAGATTTTTGAGTTGGGTTTGATGGCACATGCTTGTAATTCCAACACATGGGAGGCTGAAGTAGGACTGTCCTGAGTCCAAAACCAGCTTGGACATAGTGAGTTCAAGACCAGCTTCAAACATATAGTGAGATTCTGTTAAAATAAAAAACAAAACAGGGCCTGAGAGATAGCCCAGTAGAATAAGTGCTTGTCTGGCAATTGCAGGGTCCTCAGTTCAATCCCTGGAACCAAACCAAAACAAAACAACAACAAAAAAAACCAGTAGCTTCTGTCATGAGTGGCACATGCAGGGCAAAAAACATTAGTTTTCAAAAACAATTTTTCTCTGACTCTGGCGATGGACAATATACATACTCCCTCCAGTCAATAACTCTGACAACATTTTCTCATTTTTTAATTCAATTGAGAACTACCAGTCTAAATTATACTTGATGGATGAACTAGATTTAGGCAAAATAGAAAAACATATTTGAAGGTGGAGAAAATCAGACTGATCTATGCAGAGGAAAGAACAAGAGTAAAAGATTTACAGATAAGAGAGAATATAAAAACCACTCTACTGAAAACTCATTATAAACCTGGAATGAGTCCAAGGGAAGGGAGAGTAAAACTGGGCAATGCAAGTTAATAAAAGCTTCATCATAAATAAACTTGATTAAGGAATTCATCCACCCTAAATTTTAGAAAGATTATTCTGATACAGCATAAACAGAAAACGAATGCCTGTAATCCCAGCACTTGGGAGTATGAGGCAGGAGGACTGATGCAAGTATGAGGTAAGCTGGGCTACATGGCGGGTTCAATGCCAGCCTGAACTATGTAGCAAGACCCTGTCTCAAAAGACAAAAAAGGAAGAGAAAGAGAGAGAGAGAGGAGAGAAGGAGGGAGGGAAGGAGGGAGGGAGAGAGAGAGAGAGAGGAACGAATCAAATTTAAGAAAACTGTGACATTAATTTAGAGACAGAAGATAGTTTAAAATAATTCTCCCAGGAAACTAAAAATGAAGCCCATAGCTGGACTAAGATGGCCCCACTCTCTAAGATGTACTTGATTATTCCTGATAATTTAGCTATGTGATAATTTCAGAAAAAGAAGGTGG